GGGGTACAGGCACAGACATTAGAGAGGGTCTAGGTGTTGGGCAGAGAGACTCAGACCTTTGGAGGTGTTTCTAGTAACTCTGTCAGTTAGAATCCACTGTTGCCCTACACCCTTCGTGGACTGGGGGAGAAGAGAATTTGGCTTGCCTTAAGCCCAAGCACAGGGACCCACCTGGCATCTCTTGGCAAATCATGTGTTCTCATCAGCTGTTGGTGTGTGTGTGTAGGGGGGTGAATGGTGTCCCCCCAATTTATATTTTGAAGTTGTAACCCCCAGAACCTCAGAATGTGGCTTTATTTGGAAATAGAGTCACTGTAGATGTAGTCAAGATCATTAGGATGGGTCCAAAGCCAATATGACTGATTTCATTAGAAAAAGGGGAAATTTGGACACAGAGGTACACAGGGAGAACGCCATCTGAAGATGGAGGCAGAGATGGGGTGATGCTTCTACAAGCCAAGGAACATCAAAGAGTGTCAGCAAACCAGCAGGAACTGGGAGGGGCTGGACAAATTCTCGCTCACAGTCCCAGAAGGAACCAGCCCTGCTGACACCCTGGTCTCAGACTTCTGGCCTCCAGGACTGTGGGAAAGTACATTTCTGCTGTTTAAGCCACCCAGTGTCGGGGACTTTGTTACAGCAGCCACAGCAAACTGAAACATTAGCTAAATGGCACATTCCTGTCTTCAGAAGCATCTTCATTCCACTGGCTGAAACAGTCTGGTATAGGCCAAGCAGGGGCTCTTCTGGGTGGTCTGTTTCATCAAGGTCGTCTTGGTCCAGAAGAGCCCAAGACCAAGGTCCATTTTCCTCTGGGATACCCCCAAGGCCCTTCTAATGGTCATCATCAAACCAGCCACCCAGGGCCCTTTATCCCCTGATGAGCATCAGGTGGAATCTACGGTGGGGACTGCCAGGGCTGGGACCGCAGCATCAGGTAGCTGCCAGGATAAGATACTTGGCACCTGGTTTGGTCCTGGTGAATACTCCTGAGCATTCTCACATGCAGAGGAGGCTCAGCAGGCCTGGCAGCTCAGGGCTGAGAGATGAGGGCCTCTTGCTGTGTGACTCCATTCCAGGGCTGGGACCAAGGGGCCTAACTCTGTCCCTTGGCTGGAGCCAGAAGTGGAGCTGCATAGAGGAGCAGATGTCCCTCCTGGTGTCAAGAATTCAGTCAGTCTCCATAGACTCAGGCTTCCTTTAGTCCTGGATGCCACCCATCCTCCAGGGTCCCACCGGAGACAGTTAAAAGACACTGGCAAGAGGTGAGACCAGCCCAACAGGTGACCTGGGGGGGAGAGGAGGCCATCTATGAGAAAGAAATGATGCCACCATGCTGGGGCAGTAGGCTCAGGACACGGGTGGGGGGTGGGGCCTTGTGTGTTAGCATCTGAGTTGGTTTGGGCAGACTTGTGTGTCTGGGGCAAGGTCAAAGTTCTGGGTCACTCTCTCGGTTTGTTAATGCCAACAGCCTCAGGAGAGGGTGCGCAGAAGAAAGAGGCGACAGTACTGCGGGCGGATGTGGAGACGCGGCCCCTCGGGGAGATGGTGCAGTTAGGAGACGTCTTTGTGGCGTCAGTGGCGAGGTGCACAGATACAGGACTGCTCCTCTCTTCCAGCTTAGAGCTTGGGGAAAAGAGGCTCTCAGCCCACGCGTGGCCTTTCCTCCCAGCCTTCATTTCCTCACACCTCTTCCCTCACGAGCCCTCACTCACCCCCAGCCTGAGTTCATGCCCCTCAGTCATTTTTCCCCACCGTTTAACACTGTTCCCGTTTCCCATTTCTTACTTCCAGAAGAAGGCGCCCTGCTCGCCCGGACCCTGTATCCCACAGCCTTGCTCCCCATCCCATAACAACGTCGCAGCTCAATGCCCTGACCCCTAGTCTCCCCCTCCGCTGTGGCCAGAAGGGTCCAGTTACCCAGGAACCCAGTTGCCTCGGGAGGATTTCTCAGAGCTTGGCCTCCTCTGGAGAGACGGGACTGGGAGGACACGGACCTTTAGAAGACAGAACAGGCCTGAGTGCACGGACTCTTTATTGCCCCATGGTTGTGCATGGAGGCCTAGCTGCTGGTCCTCCCAGTGCTGCTCCATTGCAGGGAACGCCTAGTGAGGTGGGGAGGGTGTGTGTGCGTACGTGTGACATGAGGCAGTGTGGCCCAGATCCCAAACCAAAGGCAGGCGGAGGTGAGCCTTGAGGTAGCTCTGCCCACACAGGATAGACTGCGATGCGCTTGGCACAAGTCAGACTGTTTGCGTGGGGCTGCAAAGGGATCCAAAGGCAGCCCCGTTCGTCGGCTTAATAGCACGAATTGTCTGTACTGGAGAGAGTCTCCCAGCAGTCTTGAACTCCTTGAGAAGTAGAACCTGAAACCAGAGCAAGCGGTAAACAGAACGGTGATTCTTGTTTCGATGGGAGTCATCCATGGGAAAGAAGTCCCCTCTAAGCGAGAAGAGCGAGGTGGGAGGTCTGCACGAGCTCGAGCTCACCCTAATGGCCCGCTGAGCTGCTCTGGTTCTGAATGGAAGCAGGCTGCAGTGGGCAGGGGAACGCGCTCGAGAGCAAAAGGCTGGGCTCTTCCCTTCCCAGGATGCTTGGCTCCTCTGGGCACACCAGAAAGCATGGGGCTACCAAGAGGGGTGCCAGACATAGGTTCTTGGGGTGAAGTCCTGACCCTCCTACCTGCACCAAACCCACGCCTCTCAGGGGCCAGGGCAGCAGCCAGATTCCTCGTGCCGTGCCAAGAGCGACATGCGGGAGAAGGTCTTGGCGCAGCTCTTGCACTGGTATTTCTTGGTGTCGGAGTGTGTCTGCAGGTGGGCCCGGAGATTGGAGCGGTCCGCGAAGGCCCGGCTGCAATGAGAGCAGGCATAGGGCTTCTCCCCTGGGGAAGGAAGAGGGGAGGGTGAGTGATTACCTGAGGTATCTCGGGAAGGCAGTCCAGGGTTCAAGTGTCCCTGTTTATAAATGAATAACCCATCCCTCCCCCTTCTCAACTTAATGCATTTATCTTCATCACTGCCCCCGCTCCAGGACATAAGTGATGGGGGCCTTAGCTCCTGCCCTAGGAAGAGATGCTAAGGCCTAGAGGCCACACAAGCACGCAAGGTTGAGGCCACTTGGGGAAGGGATAGAATGATACACCTAACCTTTCCTAAGAGCAAAGGTCCAGTGCCGCTGCATCTACCACGGCTGCTAGATCTTTCTCTGTTTTTGCCAGAGCTCTCCTGGGGCCCCCTGCCACCCAGATCTGGACGTGAGAAGCACGGGCACCTGCTGGCAGCTGTACTGCCCACTGAAGGCCAGTGATGGAGACTGGCCAGGCTCCTGCAGAGACTACCGTGAAGGCGGGCTGGAAGGAGTGAGCCCTCCTCCTGCACAGGAGGTAGGCATTTAGGAATGGTTAAGATCTTCCAGGCCACCTCCAATCAGGCAACCAGAGATTTCAACAAAGTCCTATTGGGACCTTGGCCCCCAGGACGACTCTGGCAAGTATAAAAGGAAAGGTCATTAAGAGTCACCTGTTCTCCTCTGCTCATGTGGAGTGGCTTTCAGTCCTGCAGCCCCACAGAGTCCTGAGAGGCACCAGTCTGCAGTCTCCTAGGCATGATCCCAGGCATGATCCCAGCCAGGCCAGTCTCCTGAGGGGCTTCCCACCCTCCTGGCTACCAGACCAAGAGCACTAAGCCTCTGATGGTGTGCGAGATCCTCAACAAAGGGTTAAGGAACACCAGATGGAATTTCCAGTCTGAAAAAAGCCTCCCTTCCAGCAAAATCCTTTCCAGCCGCCACCCAGGTGTGACTCTGAAGATTCTAGTCATGGAGCCATGACTTAGGGAGATTCAGTTACACAAAGTATGTGTTGCAACTATGGGTCTGCAATCAGGACCAAAGTCTCATTCTGGGAGCTCTGTCTCTCTGTTGCTGTCTCCCACTCTGTACGGTGTGCCTGACAAAGTCCCAGGCTCCAGGCAAAGCCCTGGGCTGAGATCCAATTGGCTGAGGCCGCTGGCTGCCCTTGGGCAGAGCAGGCCCGTTCTGCTCTTTCTGGGCAGTATTTTGTCATCTACAGAATGAAAGGCTAAAGTTCTTAGGCCTCCTTCGGTTTGTTGCCCACATCCTTCTCCTTCCTCTGCTTCTGCTTTCGCCTCCTCTCCACAACCGTCCTTCTCTCCTTGGTTTCTGTAGGCTGCTGGCCACCCTCTCACCCACAGGTGGGTTTGCTCCAGGTCCCTAAATTTTGAGTGAAGTCCCAGCTGTCATTCCTGCCCTTCAGATAGGCTGTGACCCCTATGGTTCTCAACCCCAGGCTGGGCCTTTCTTCCTCCCCTCTCCTGCCGCTCCTGAATTCTTCAAGGCTGTGGAATGTGAGAATTCAGACCCCACAGACGGCCCGAACATCCTGCGCTTTGCTGGGTGTTAGAGGTTGAATTGTGTCCCCCAGAGAAGAGACATCCACATCCTAAACCCTGGGCCTGTGGATGTGACTATTTGGACATTAGGGGCTTTGCAGTCATCAGGCTGCAGTTTGTGGGCCCTGATTCAATATGACTGGCGTCCTTATAACAAGAAGGAAATTTGGACACAGACGCACAGGGAAGAGAGACCATGTAAGGATGGAAGTAGAGGTTGGAGTGGTGCAGCCACAAGCCAAAGAATGCCTGGAGTCCCTGGGAGTTGGAAGAAGCGGGAAAGATTCTCCCCTAGAACCTTTGGAGGTATCCATGGGACACCTGGATTTTGGGCTTCTGGCCTCCAAAGAGAGAGGACAGTTCTGATGTTTTGAGTGCCCAGACTGTGGGATTTTGTGCCACAGCCCTGAGACGTGGAGACACTGGAGAGAAGAAGCTATGCGAATGTCCGTCCTCTTGTTCATAGAATCGCCCCTCTCCTCTGTCTAATTCGCAGGTCCCAACCGCTCCCCTACCCAGATTCCTCTTGCGGACCTGATGCCATCCTACCTGTGTGGGTCCGGATGTGTCCCTGGAGCAGCCAGGGCCTGGAGAAGGCCTTGCCGCAGATGGCGCAGATGCAGGGCAGCGTGTGTGTGCGGATGTGCATTTTGAGGGCGCCCAGGCTGGCGTACTCCTTGTCGCAGTACTTGCAGGTGAAGCAGCGCTGAGCCTGCAGATGGCAGTGCAGCTGCCGGTGCCTGGCCAGCCCAGCCACCGTGTGGTAGGGCTTATGGCAGTGGATGCACTGGAAGCCACCTGCGGGGCAGGGGGCCTGCTCAGCCCCTAGCAGTCTGTCTGGAGCCTGATCTCCAACTGGGCCCAGGTTTGGGGGCCACCGCATGGGGAGAACCAGCAGTGGGGGCAGATTGAGGTGGTTCAGGCTGTCTTTGAGAGGTATGCTAGGGCCTCGGCCAGCCCGAGGATCCACTGGGCTGATTTCCAGGGTGTCTGGCTCAGAGGTCCCCCGAGCTTCCTCATTACGAGGGAGGGGCAGGGAGATGCAGGTGATGACAGAAGTATGGTCCCAGGGCTGGGCAGTGTCACCGGGTGTGGGAGCGGCTGCCTTGTCTGGGAGGAGGAAGGGCACTACCAGCCCCCCACAGGCAGAACAGGCACCATTGATTTCTAGAAGGGCAGAGAAAGAGAAAATAAAAAGGTGAAGACTGAGTCCAAACATGTTGTGTTCCTAAACTTGCATCTCAAGTCCAATCTCAAAACCATCTTCTAGGCCATCAGCAGCATGGCATGAAGGGAAAGGCCTGAAAGATGGACGTGTTGGCTAGGGAAGTGACAATGGCCCAGAGATCATGGGGTCTAAAGGAGGAATCTCAGTTCCTCTTTAAAAACAAAGAAAGAGAACGTTCTTACAGGATCCCAACACGACAGTCCTCGTGGGGCCAAGGAAGGCTCCCTCACTGCCAGGCAGGGCAGGCACTCTCTGTGAGCCCCTGTCCTACCTCAGGACCAGCTCACAGTGTATCCCCCAGGCTCCTAGTGTTAATGCAGAGCATCAGGCCACCATGCGTAAAATAACTAACTAGCCTCCAGTCACCTCCTGATTACTCCTGGCCATCATGACATAGTGCCTGCAACCTTCTGCCAACGCTCCCAGGTCCAGAAGGGCTGTCCTCAGGTACCATACTGCTTCGTAGGTGGACTTGCCCTCAGCCTACTGCTCCAGTATTTGTGGGCCAGCATGCCCCATGCTCGACCCAGATGAGGTCCCCAAAGTAAATGAGTTAGCAGGTAAGAGTTAAATTCTGCATCTCCCCAAAGCTCAAACCTCCAAATAGCCGGCAACCCATTTCTTATTCCTTATGTGTTGAAATAAACCTTTGGCCCCAGTTAGGGGAGGAGAGGGAGGGAGAGAGCACTAAGGGGCTGCAAGGCTGTTCTCTGACAATCCATCACTGGGCCTTGCACTGCTGCCCAAATTTGCACATTCCAATAGTGAAGTGGGGCACGCTGTATTACTGGACTCTACATAATGATTTTTAAACTTTTAAAACTATGTCAATTCAATTGTCCATCATATATATCTGAAACAGGAGTTTCCTTTACTGGGAGCACTGCTCTCTGATGGTTTGTTCTGGTGGTGCCTCTTAACTTGATTTCAGGTTGCAGAAGTGAAACGCCTGGTCCTGGAAGGCGCCCCCTGGTGGCGTCCCGGCGTCGGTACCGGTCAGCGACTCCCTCCCCACGCTGGGTTTTGAGAACGCTAAAGGCTCTGAGAGGCACCAGCTGGCTGCCCTGGCCTCTGCAGAGTCCCTCTTTCCCCTCTCCCCCTCTGAGTCATCGAGCAGTCCTTCAGGGGGTCTTTGCCCCAAGAAGCTGCGGAGCTATGGGGGACAGCTCTGATGACTCTAGAGGCCTTTGCTCTGGGACTTTGAGTCCTCGTGCCTTGCAGGTAATGGGAATGAGGGGACAGTGTTGGGTGCCTGGCCTCCCGTCTCCCCACTGAGTCCCTGGGGAGAGGACTGCAGCCCCTTAGCCCAGCCTGCCCTGGGTAACCTCCACTGGGGTGAGGAGAGGCCTGAGAAAAGGAGACCCATGGGAGGGGTGAGGAGGCACTGGAGGGGGCTGAGGAATGCTAGGCGAGCGGGATCTTGGCACCATAGAGCCCATGGTCACAATTCCTGTCCCCTGTGGTCACTACCCAAGACAGGATGCTCCGCGGGGGCGTTTGGACTGCAGCCCCAGGTGTCCCTCCGTCTCTTTCCCCACCATCTCTGGCACCCCTTCCAAACTTCCAGCCCCAGGAAGATGGCTCCGGGTTCCTTTAGCTGGGATGGAACTTTAGCACCAAGCCATAGAGGGTGAGCCCAGAGGGACTGGAAGAATAGAAACTTCTCTAAGTCGGGGAGACAATCCTCACCTGCTCCGCCTGACTCGGGCCACCTACCTACCTCCAGCCCCAGGGCCTCGGCCCCAGCTGTGCTGGAGAGCTCCTCTCCTCCCACCTGGGACAGGTGTCCCCCGCTCTCCCTCCTGCCCCGCGGCAGCCCAGGCCCTGGGCCCTGGCTCCTGGCTGGGGTGCCCGGCGGCCCCTACCTCTCTGCGTCTCCAGCTGCCCATAGTTGGGGACCCTGGTGCTGGGGTGCGTTTTCACCAGGAAGGAGCGCGGCATGGCTCTTCACCGGCGCGGGTTCCACTTGTAAGTCGGTGGGCGCCAGTCCGCGGCGCCGCGGCAGGTGCGGGCAGGGTCAGACTCATTAGCATAGCGCACCGGCTCGGCCAACCAGCGAGCGGCGCGGCCGGGGCGGGGCGGGGCGGAGCCGCGGGACCCGGCTTTAGGGCCACGCCCAAGACAGGTGCGCGGCGTTGGGGCGGTAGCGCGTGGCTGGCGTGTCCTGCCCACGGGACCTTTCTGGCGCGCGCCGAGAGTCACGCCGACCCCTGGGGCCTGGCGCACCCACTTGCCTCCGACTAAAGGGCGGAGGTCAGGGCTGGATAGAACCCAGCTCTCTCTGGTGCACAGGGCGTGGAAGCGAGCGCGGAGCCCAGCTTCGGAGAACCCTCGCTCCAGTTGGTTACACCCGCTCCACCTCCTGCGGGAACCCACGACGGTAGGATTGATGAGCACACTGATGAACTCCAACGCTGACCCAGCTGATCGGCCGTAGTGCATGCACACCAGGAGAGTCAGCTGGCCTGGTGGAGTCCGCCTTTCCAGTATACTCCTTCTTTCCAGAGAAAATGCTTTAGGAGTTGTCCCCAGGCGCCCAGAAAGTTCATTTGGTGAGAGAAAGGACATAGCCTGGAATTGTGGAAGGGTTCAGACATGCTGTTATGGGAAGTTTAATCAAAGAGGGCAAAGCGTGTGCACTCTGCAACAGCTTGTCTGTGATGCTGGGCAACCACGTAGGTCCATTCTGCAGTGTCATTTGGAATTCTCAGTGTGGAAAAGAACTGGGTGAGTCAGGTTTGGATGTCTAGTCCCTTTTGTGTGGACGGTTCATGAGTTCAGGGGTCAGAGATGGCCTCTGAGCAGGTGGACATAGTGCCTCCTGATAGCCACAGGCCATTTCCATGGCTGTGCAGCAGGCCTGCCTTCCAAGTAGAGTCTTTTGAGTCCCAGATGCTGCACGCAACTGAGTGCTCTTTGCCATTCGAGGGCTTGGGGGACACGGTGGGGATAATGGTGAGTCTGTAGAAGCCCATGCAGAAACACTGGAGGGAGGGCCGTGTCACACATGTCTTATGTTCGCACAGTTTTGCAGATGAGAAAACTGAGGCACCAAGAAGCTGGAAAGTGGTGGAATTGGGACCTGGGCCCACAGTCCCAGCCTTTCCTAAGGCATGTGTACCTTGCCTGTTGTTTGGTGAGAAGGGGAGAGTGTCTCCCATTGGGCCATGGCCTGGCACCACACTGCCACGTGTGTGGCTTTCAGAGGACATGTGGCTGCCTTCTGCTTATTCACCTGTTCCTGGGCCTCGAAAAGTTTCTATTTATACCCTCTTTTCTTTCTCTCTCCCTCCCCAGATAACACTTGCAGATACCTGCGCCAACCCTCTATCCACCCTGTCTTTCCTTACCCAGCCACCCATTGTGTGACCCCAGGCCAAGATGACCCTCTTAATCCCCAGAGAGATAATTTATTTAGGGAAGCTGGAACACTCCTATGGAGAATCTGTTGATTTCATCCTGGAAAGCCCCCAGGGATGCAAGGGTCCTTAGAGTGCCATTGGGTACGGGCAGTTTATCCCTTCCCTAGGGCTGCCGTAACAAATGACCTGAAGAGAAATTTACAGTCCCAATGTCTCAGAACTGCCCTCCTGTGGTGGCGCAGGCTCACTTTTGGCTGTGACTCACAGAGTTGTGTCTGGGCTGGACCCAAGTAGGACCCACAAAGGAAAACCTCAGCATCTGTCTGTTCCCAACTGAGTGGCCCGGGGAATGGGGTGTGGCTGTCCCCATGTGCTCTGCGTCCTTCTCAATATCACTGCTGTGCCTGGCGGTGAAGCCTCACACCCTACTCCGCGGTGAGAAACCCACTTCCCAACAGCTCCCTCTCTCAGCTAGAGCAGGACTTGCAGGGAACTGAGGTCCACTTTCCCCGCAGAAACCATAGCCGTCTTCCCTGAGCACCTAGGACCAGGGGAATGACAGTTTTCGAGAGCCAGGCTGCCACTCAGCCCATCTGCCTTTATTAGTGACCCACCAGGCCAACAGGCGGGTTCCAAGTCAGGGAGCAGAGTAGCCCCAGCAACAGCAGGTCGGATGTTACAATTCCATTTATGTTGATGTTTTTTCATTTTATGTGTATGTTGTATACTCTTTTTGTAGGCTACTTTATAGTGACTGTGATGATAGTGCTTGGTCCTATATGTAGTGTGTGTACATATACATCTGTGTCCCACTGATGCTCATTTTTTACCGATTGGGTTCCATGAGCCATTGTGAAACCCCCACTCTCTGGGCCAGGTAAGAGCCAGCCCTCATTCCTGCACAGTGCCTGCATGTGCTCAGGTCCACAGCAGGGGTTCAGCAATGTTTGTTGGACTAGATCGAAAGTCCCCAAACAGCACAGCCCTGGGCACACATGTCCCTGGGGGTTGGAGGGGTGAGCCCCTATCTGTGCTCTCGACTGCAGATATGTGTGTGAAGGTACCAGGGCCTGGGGGAGAGCCTGGCACTGGGACTTTTGGAACAGTGCTCAGAGCTAAGCCTCGCAGGTGGGGCTTGGCTGTCCCAGGCCCTGGGCAGATGGCCCTCACATTGGGGCATCATCCATGGCAACAGTGGCCCCCTGTGTCAGTGTGTGGAGTGTTTATTGAGGAAGGGTGGATGTGGTTGGGAAATCCTGACTTGGAGCACCCCGCAGCTGTCCAAGTTTATAGACTTGCGGAAACTTGGATCCAATGCTCCAGCTCCCAACATCTGGTCAGATTGGTGGCCAGCATGTGCTTGGTCACCCCTAGTGAAGGAGAACTTCATTCTATTTTGGGGCCTGATTGTTGAAGGTGATGCTGGTTCTTAAAATGGGGTTCAGTGGACACATCCTGTGTGATTGGGGGTAAGGAGAGGGGATATCATCCCTCTACACACAGCTTATAAGACAGGAAATAGAGGCCCAGACACCTTAGGGAATGCCAGAGAGAGTGATGTTGGGTGCTGAGGAGGGTCTTAGGGGCTGGGACAGGAGAAGTGAGAACTGAATGGGGACAAGGCAGGGATGTGCCATGTGCACATGTGCATCAGTGTGTGTGCACGTGCATATGCATGTGTGCAGGTCTGTGTCCTATACATGCTTACATACAGTACACATACATGCGTGTGCGTGTGTGAAGTTGCAGGAACTGTTCCCGTGTCACAGAGCTCGGGCATCAGTGGGTGAGCCTCGGCCTTGAGGGAAGGGGTCTTTTGGGTCCAGAGCTTGGTTCGCAGCTCCTCATCCCTCTGCATCCTCTCTGCACTCTTCTCTGCACGGTGGAACTGGCCCCTCATCTCCAGCAGGTTGTTGGAGAGACTCGAAGAACCACATGCTGGGTGATTCTCTCTGACAGTGATGGACTGGACATCCCCATCTTATGGATCTGCCCTCACTGGAGCATCTGAACCTTGGCACATGCAGCCTCACGTTCACTTGGTCAGTATGCTGTGCCTCTCACTCACCTAGCCACCAGGGCACAGAGAGCAGCAAAGCACAGCCTGTCCTTGAGGCTTGCAGGAGAGGCATCTCAGCTGGCTCTCACTTCTGCAGCAGCTTCCAACCAAGGAGCTAAGCCTTGCCAGCCAGAACATGCCCAGGACTCCAAGATGTGCCTCCTGAGCCCTGAGGCCCTCATGACAGGCAGCCAGGCTTAGGGCAGGTTCTCTAGGAATCCCTGTCTGCAGGATCTGGAGTCCCTTCAAGGCACACCCCAAAGAAGCCAGCAATGGGGCCAAGAGGTCCAAAGGCGTCTCTGCTGGCCTAGCATGCTGGTTACCATGTTCAGCAAGACACCTCTGGGCTCTGTTCCTGGGCTGGATCAGGGTAGTGTCAGCTTCTCAAGGGGCCCTCAGCAACACTGGTGACAGGTGGTGGCTCCAGCAGCCTCCTTGCGGTCAGGGAGTCCACCTTTTCAGGTGGCACCAAGCTGGAGCTCACACCTATTTCTTCTCTACTTGGCATATGCTGACAATGAACTGATGGACAGTGTTGGGAGTTGAAGCATGTGTCCTGGAAAGATGCTGAAGTCCTAACCCTGGCACCTGTGGTTGTGGCCTTATTTGGAAATAGAGTCTTTGCAGGTGTAGTCAAGATAAGGTCATTAGGGTGGCCCCAATCCAATAACTGGTATTCTAATGAAAGGGGATATTTGGACACAGGTACACACAGAGAGCAGATGACATGAAGACACAGGGAGAAGGCCGTGTTGAAGCCAACGGGTCAGCATGATGCATATCTGAGCCAGAGATGATGGTGGCTGCCAGAGCCTGGCAGAACTGGAGAGCAGGAAGGGAATGGATGGTCCCTCACCGCCCTTGGAAGCAACTAGTCCTGTCAGCACTTGGATCTTGGACTTCTGAGCTTTGCTGTTGTGGAAGCCATGCAGCTGTGGCACTTTGTTTTAGCTGCCCCAGGACACTCATGCACACAGTGGCCTGGCTTGCCCTGATTTGCAGTGAGAGCCCAGATAATCAAGGAGAACTAACCACAGCCCCAGAAACCTATGCACCAGATGTGCTCAAAGTTTCTAGAAAAAAATACCACATTGGTGCTGCTTGCACTTCTCAGTGGCCCATTCTTGTACCCACCTGCCCCTTTCTCTCCCAAGTGTTTCCAGGGTTTAATAGCATAGATTCTCGAGCGACGTGCAATTCAACAAAAGTCTGCCAGTTCCTGCCTCTTCTGCTCATCACTTGGAGAGAAGCTCATACCAAGAGGGGCCCAGCCACTGGCCATACTTGTGGCTATGGGAGCAGCACTCAGAGGAAAACAGCCTATTTTAGCCAGCCTTGTTTCCATCTCGCTGCCTGTCTTTCCTGGGCTGAGGCCCAGGCTCCAGGTGGGAGGCCAGCCTGGCTTCAACTGTCTGAGAGTGTGCATTCCTGAAGCTGATTGTGTGAAGGCGCCTTGGATCCCATCAGTACTAGGTGCCTTGTAGTGAGTGAGTTTAAGCCTCTTTCCCCACGAGCATGCTTAGGGAGGGACAGAGGTAGGGAGTCCTGGTATCTCAGTGCTAGAAGGAAGAGCCACAGTGTGGGGCATCAGCACCATGGGAGGATGGGAGGACAGGTGCAGACAGCCTTTTCAGAGTCATCTCTGATGGAGTTGGCCCACCCCCCATGCCTGGGCAGACTGGCTGCAGCTGGGTCATGAAGACACACCCTCCCTCTCACCAGACCCTGGGGGCGGAGGCATTTGTTCTCCACTGATGTCTTGGGGCTTGTTAAAGTGTGTCTGTAGGAAGAGCCCATGCTGGGGCCAAGTCAGGCCCTTCGCCTCTAATGGCACATTTTTGGAATCTCTTACTTCATCTCCGAAACGATAATAGTGACTTCAGTCTATTTTCCCTGGGGCTTGTGAGCCTAAATCAAGATGGCCCTGTGTTAGATGAACCCCAAGGTACCACTCTGCATGTCCAAGGGATTGGGGGAGGGTATGGCTCTGTGTGGCAGGTGTGCTGGGCCCCCTGATGATGAGGTAGAGCAGGTAGACCCATTTGTTTATTTTCTGGTGCCAGGCACCTGTGCACACTTGTATTTCCTGAAAAGACTCGCCTGGAGTCCTGCAAACCCAGGCTGAGCCAAGCCTGCCAGAAGGCCACTCTGCAGTGAGCTTGTATGACCATTGTCAGCCCCACCCTGTGTGTCCACACTGCTGCCCATGAGTGCCCAGAGCTGGCAGCTAGTTCTCCAGAGTCTTAGGCTAGTGAAGGGAGACCGGCCTGAGCCAGGGGGCTCCGTGCTGTGGTGTCCTGCCTTTAGGTGGGCTGGTCGCCTCTCCCCTTAGCCCCAAACCACAAGGTCGCACATACCTGGGAACCTGTAGGCACTTTCTAGGCAGTAGAGGGTACCTGACATGAAAGGGCATGTCACCTCCAGTCAGGCACACCCCAGGGCATAGATGCGTGGGCCCAGGATATAAAGTCTGCCTGACTTTATGCTGCAGAGAAAAGCTGCTGAGGATTATTGGTCCCTGCGTTTGTCAAGGTAGAAGGGACCCTGACTTTAGGAACTCCCAGCTTAAAGTGGCGAGTCCCTGGGTCAGCTCATACTCAGGGCACTGGGAGGCCTATGATGCAGACTTGTGGCAGCTCTGCCTCTGGCTGCCCTGCAGATTTGTGGTGGGACCTGGGGAGGAACACGAGGGGCTGGCTTGGGTCTGTGGTTTGCGTCTCAGCTGTGGTCCAGGCCCTCCATTCTCATTGGGAAGCACCACTACATGGATTTCAGACATTTGGCTCCACCTCGGATTTCATCCAAACTAAGAGGAGGCTGCTGGTGCAGTGGCTTCAGCCTGAGGTATCCCCTGTCCCTCCCACTGTGGGTCTGCTGATCCAGGTTGCATGCGCTCCCACCATATAGGGTTCGTGCTGATGCCCTCCCCTGGGAAGACTGTCCTGGACACCATTCTGGAGCAGTAGTATGGCTCATGTGTCCCGTGTGCCCTATATGTCCATTGGGTGCCATGTATTTCATGTTCCCCATATGTCCCATAGGCCCCAGGGACCCTGAGTGCCCAGTGTGCCTCCATGTGTCCCGTGTGGCTCTCTGGCCCAATCTTGCCCCATCACCCAGCCATCATCTACCAGACAGGCAGATGGCAATCAAGGGCATGGTGAGGTCAGGACCTGCCGAGACGCCATAAAGCTGCCTCCAGGACTCCTGGGCACTGTGGGCCATGACGACTAAGCGGACTGGGCCTGTGGGAGCAGCACCGTACTATCCCCCAGAAGGTGGGTGGGTGGCAGGCTGTCTAGGTGTGGACAGCCCTGGCTAATGGCCAGGGGGTGAACACACACACCAATACCAGCCCTGTTCTAGAGCTTGAGGCCTAATTGCGGACAAGACATGGGCCGCTGTGGACAGCCCCAAACCACAGCCACTGCATGTCCAGACAGGATGTGCAGGCTGTTCTAGGGGAAGAAGAGACAAGGGTCTTGGCCAAGGGGAGACTCGGCCTCTCCTGGAGGAGGTCAGTACTTTGGACATGGGTGCAGGAGAGGCCCATGAGGGGAAGAAGGTGCAGGGTGGAGAGGAGATGGGGCAGCAGGAGGGAGGGGAAGCATCTACACCAGCAACCAGAGCCCAGCTGGTCCTAGTACTGCTTTAGCTGGCTCCAGGTCCCCTCAGTGAGTGTGGCCTTGAGTCTGTGCTTGGGGCTGTGTGCCTGGTGGGCCAGTCAGCAGGGTGGAGCAAGAGGGCCTCATTGGGGCCAAGATCCCAGGGTCCCAGCTTTTCAGCCTCCTCTAGGAGGGGACCTCAGCTGCTGTATCACCCTTTCTTTCCTGTCAGCCCTGGAGGAAGCTGCATCTACACTCAGACAGCTCTCCTGGGGTGTGCTGCATCACAGGCCTCCTTCTGGAAGGCGATGAAAAGGACAGGCTGTCATGTGCCTCTGCTGCTCCCTGGAGCCCAGCACCCACAGTTTGTGGGGTCAGACAGTCAGAGGAGAGGGGGGTTAGTGGCTCCTAACAAAGGTGTCCGAGGCCAACTGCTTCTAAAGGGGTAACTTCAGCCCAAGTCACATTCTCCCCTTGAGTGATTGCTTGTGGAGACTTCTGCTTGCCTGGCCCTGCCACAGCTTTAAGCTCAGGAGACCGACCTCCTTCATAGAGGAATGGGCTAGAACACAGCCCCACCTGGTAAAGGAGCCTGGTGACAGGGGAGAGCGAGACAGGTGCAGGACTCAGCCCTGATGACCAGCCGTCAGGACACTGGCCAGCAGGTAATTCTTGCCAGCTCGAAAAGCTCATAGTGACTTGGGGAGCAGTAGGGACTGTGACAGTGATGGTGGCCGGGCACCAATGTCTAAATGGCTCTTCATGACCTTCCAGTGGCTGTGTGAGGCTCAGGGGCTGAGAGCACATACAGGGGCACAAGGAAGGCTGTGGGGAAGGCTACCTGGAGAATGGCCACCACATGGGGACTGCAGAACTGTGGGGCTTTACCCCAAGGGTATCCCGAAGATCACTCCAAAGGCCACCATGGCCACCTCTGGGCACCAGAACAGACCCCATTCAGACCAGCCCCAGCCAGGGAGGCCGGAGAGGTACCCAGCCTACCGGCCTCAGCAGACTCCATCTCAGGACCAGGAAGGAGGTGAAAGCCACCAACACCCAGAAAACTTGTGCCTGGGTTTATCACAGGGGACCAGATGCAGGTCAAGAACTTGCTCTGGGAGAGGCAGACACAGGCCAGGAGTAAGGGGCACAGGTTGAGGAGCCTCCCGTGTACTGTGGAGGCACTGTGCTCATGGGAGGAACAGAAGGATCTGGTCCTCCTGGTGACTGCTGGTGGCAGAGACCAAAAGGGGAGAGGGCCTGGGCAGGACAGCTGCCCCATGGCACTCCTCCTGGCTGCTGTGTCCTCTTCGTGGGTGATCATCTTCACTCTGAGCTGGAGCTGCCTGGGGACAGATGCACATCTGCAGGCCTCATGCAAAGGAAAGTTGCAGTGACTTGACACCAGCCATCCGCTTTTAATATTTACAGAATGAAACCCACTGGTCCAGGCTGCTATAGAGGCTTTGAAACATTTTATTTAAATTTTTTTGAAAGACAGCAATAATTTATGCCATGAACCAAACGAGAGTACTGACAAGTGTTTTCTAGCCAAGCCCAACATTGCAAAGGCCCCACCTCCCTCCCAGCCCCTGCCCCCAACTCTGCCACCGATGGCGGTGGCCCTGCCTTGGAAAGGTAACAGCAGAGCTGAGGCCAAGACCCCAAGCAGGAAGAGGCCTCAGAACAGCCCGGCAGTCACTGCAAGTGGCCAGGGTGTTGGGATTTCTTCCTGGTCATTATCCAAGGGAAACGACAACCAACCACAGGAACCCTGGAAAACACTGAGGATGGCCTGGGGCATGGCCACCTTCGTCCCGTGCTCACAACCGAAAGCCCACAGTTCACCTTGGCTCCTACATTTGCCCCATCTCTCCTTCCCTCCCCAGCTTGATCCCACAACTGTTTATTTTTGATTGTTTTTTTAAAAAATATAATTTTGTAAATGTTCCATAAAAATACTATTGTTCCTAGTCAAACACAGATATTGCAATATGAAGAGTAACTGCTTTGTCTTTGCTCTATAAAATGTGAAAAGGTTATCACACTGGATAATATAGAAAAATGCCAGAATTTCTAGGTATCACAAAGCCAGTACCAGGTGTGCGGGGGGAAGTGTTGCCGACGCTGGTGGCCGGTCGGGTGTATCGCTGGGGCTCCCCCTCCATACGGGGAGGACATCATGGCTTTGAGAGAGACAGACTGCCGACTGCTCTCAGTCTCAACAGGCCAGCCCTGCGAGGGCCACCTGCTCGGCCCGAAGCACCGAAGAAACCAGCCATGCTTGGCCAGGAGCACAGGCAGCTGTCCTCTGATGGTGAGGGGACAGCAGTCTCCTGGGCCCTGGCAATCTTGGGGGCTGCCTCGCCTCCTGCAATGATGGAGGCCTCACCTGGCCCAAAAGGCGCATTCCAATGCAGGCGCTGGACCACAGAGAGCCAGCACAGTCCTGTCCCTCGAGGCGGAAAAGCTTGGTCCTGGTGGCTGGGCTGTGCCTTCAGTTCTCAGAGAGAGATAGGGCCAGGGCGGCCTGGAAGGCGGCTTCCTCATCGATGCTATAGTCCTGGAAGACGGGAAGTGGACATGGGCTGGGGGACAAGAGGGCCCAGACAAGCCCAGCTGTGCCAGTGGACTCTCAGGGCCGCCTCCTCTGTCGGCTCACCCCAAACAGAACAGTGCTACCACTTCTAGTCTCCCAGACCGAGGCCCTGACCGAGGCCCTGCACAGTAATGGGGTCATCCGTGTTTGTGGCAACAGCTCTGTGGGAGGTTAAAGGCTGCCCGCATGTGGGACCGCTGTCTGGCTTCTCCCAATTTCTCTGCTTCCCTGAGGGCAGCATGGGGCCTCTGCAGCCGCCCAGCAGACACCCCGCCCAGCAGAACCCTGCCCAGCAGGCCTGTGGGAGGGGTGGAACTCAGAGCCTTTCATCTCTGAGAACACGGGTTCGGAGATGAGCAGGAAAGCCAGAGAGCTCCAAACCTCTAGCCACGGGGACCCGAGGGTCAGATAGGAACACAAGTGATTATCCCCCACGACCTGACACCCCCCGCCACCCGCCCAGGTGCCTGGAGGCTGGCGGGGACAGGAAGACAAGGCTGGGCGAGGAGGGGCCGAGCAGGAGGAAGAGCCTGAAGAGGGTCTGTCGGCCTGAGGCAGGCGCAATTCCGACCCACACAGGTGGGAGAGGGAGAGGAGAGGTTTAAGGTGGTGAAGTCCCTCTGGTTTTTCTCCAACAAGCACCCAAGGGCAGCCCATCACCCACCATGGAACTCTGTCCTGGCAGGGAGCCGGTGCCTCTGTAACAGCCACCATACCTGTGGCTGCCTCTCCCAGAGATGCTCCCCCATGTGTAGAGAGCTCTCTGGTAAGGGGCCCTGCAGAACCAAGGGGCCCTCACGGACTGCTCTGCGCAGATGCTGAAGCTCTGTAGTGGCCACGCAGACCTGACTGCCATCAGCACCCAAACCACAGGTGGCTCCCACAGAAACCCAGGGAGGCCTTTGTGTGTCCAGTTCCCTTTGAGCTGCGAGCCTGAGGCTGGTTAAGGGTGGGAAATTGGGGCAGGGGATGGGTGGGGGAGGGGGACAAGAGACGTACCACGAAGGTGTCGTAGGAGAACTTGTGCCGGTGGAGCAGGTGCTGCAAGAAGTTGGCGCTCTTGTAGCTGGGGTCACCCCAGGGCATCGCCGAGCAGATGGGGCACACCTGGAACAGGGGGTGCTGGGGTGAAGCTGCCAGAGCAGGCAGTGGGCCCCCACCCTGGGGTCCCAGGAAGGCACTTTGGGTGGACAGTGGGGCTTGGGCACCCGGGTGGGCTGGCTGTGGATGCTCACCACGCGGTTGGGGTCACTGCGGTGGTTGTCCACGCAGTGCTTCACCAGCTCCTGCTGGTCCAGGTTGCGGGCGCCGCAGTAAGGGCAGGTGAAGGTGGACCTGTTGGGGACAGCGCTGGGGAGGGAGGGGTGAGCGGTGGCTGGGCCAAGTACTGCCCACCTTCCTGCAGCCTGGCCCTGCATGCCCCCGCCAAGGGCGTGTTCTGCCCTCCCCTCCATGAACCCTGGGTGGCCAGCAGGAAGGAGACTCAGCCAGAGTCTTGAGGACCTTGGCCAAGGTGAGGTCCTCTGCCCTGCCCCCCTGTACATCCCCCTACAACTGCTCTGGAGCTACTTGTGCCTCGTAAAGTCCTGGTCCCTCTCCCTCCCTGACATGGAAGGGCAAGCAGGGGGAGGATGGGCCATGTGCCCTGAGGAAGCATCTGTCCAGCCCCAGCCTTTCTGGGGACTGCCCTCCCCTGCTGGGAGGTGACGCATGGGCCTGGCACGGGACCTCTTTGGGTTCTGTTCCTGCAGGGTGGTGAGACCTCTATAGAGGGGATGCAGAGCCACTCCCAGCTTCTCAGGGCAGAGCAGTGCTTCCCCCACCTAGTGATGCAGACCAGAAGCTGCCCCCACAACAGACAGGGATTCTGAGGACCCCTGGCAGGGCAGCTTACCTGGGAATGGGCTGGGACGTAGGCACCACAGGGACAAACTTGGGACAGTTGGCCATCTGCTCCTGGACCTTCATGCAGGAGGAAATATGCACTCTCATCTTGGCCAACGTCACCTAGAAGGAGAGGCAGGGCGGGGGTCAGGCGGTGGGGGAGTGGGGGCAAACCTCAGGCTCCAGAGGATCAGAGGACCGCCAGCAAGCCGGGCCAGTCCTGCTCTTGCCATTCATGGCCCAGCAGCATGCGTAAGCGGGTTCTGGGGGCCTCTCTCCGGGGCCCAGTGTCCCTGCTGGAGAAGAAACGCTGATGGTTGGAGATAGACTTGAGACCCCAGGGAAGCACTGCTGTGGTTGCACAGGGGGCCGGTGTCAGTCACCAGCCCCTGGATGGGAGCATGCCCCAGCTGGGTTCCCTGGGGAGGTACAGAAGGGCAGGTACAAACCCTGAGGGAACGGGAAGCACATTCATTTAAGGAAAATATACCTCACAACAGGAACCAACAGACAAAATCCTTTTAGACAGTTGAACGTCTGACAAAACTCCTTACCAAAAGGAACCAAACCAAACACAGCACAACCTTCTCCTTGGCCACCTGAGTCATGAGCTCTGGCCCAGGGGAGACCCAGCTCAGAGAAGGGGGAGGGGGAGGGGAGCGCCAACTCCCTCGGGCAGGTGGGGAATCTTGGTCAACCAGATTGGACACCACCCTCCTGCCATGTCACGAATGCCAAGAGGCTGGGGATAAACATGTCACAAACAGGAGGCTAGTTCACAGAACTGAGGAAGCAGCAAGGGAGGGTGAGTGGGGGACAACTGCCTCCATGAGCACAGGGTACAGTCCCTGAGTGTCCAGGGTAACAGGAAAATGGCTTCCCGATACTGGCTCTGCCCAGGGCTGGTGGACACACAGCAAAGAGCAGGGCTGCTTCATATACGAAACTATAGGAGGGGAGAAGCCTGGGGGAGGGGCGCACTGAGCTTGAAGGAAGCCCCAGCAGCCTGAGGTCCTTGGGGCAGCCTCAGTTCAGACCTTCGACCTTTAGGGTAAAGCAACCAGGGGCTGCTTTCCGTTGTGATAAGTTGGTAGAACTTGTTAACCAGAGAGATGGCAAAGTCTTAAAATATAAATTCCAAAACAGTTCTGAGTCCAGTACGCCGGGAGGCAGGACCTCTCAGTCCTGGGGCAGCAGTGGATTTAGGGAGGCTGGCTCCTGGGTCAGGATGGTAAAGGCAGGCCAGGGTGGGTGACAGAGGCTGCTGATGCATTCCATTCTGCCTGTGGCCCCCAGCTGCCCTCCTCTTCCCTATGTCCAACTGCAGTGGGTGGATCACTGGAGTGTCGAGGCTGCATCTGGGGTGGGTTTTGGCTCAGCCCCAGTGTCCCTGAATCAGCTGCAATGCACACAAGTGACCCAGAGCCTGAGCCAGGCAGTGGGGTGGGGGATTGCGACATGTGACACACAGCAGGGCCAAGGGGAAGCAGGGCTCAGCGTTGTGGGGGAGGGGCTGAGCAGAGCCTTCA